TGAGATCCTAGTTCAGATATTAATGAAACAAGATGCTGATTGGGGGGGGTGGCAATAGGGGTAAAAAGGTTAGTCATGCTATTTGGGCACATAGCCTGGGGATACGTATAAGAAAAATTGAAAAACAAAGGAGGGGAGTGAAGAACTAAGAGTTAGGGCTGCACGAGGAGTCCAAAGTTGAGCTGTCGCGTGGAGGAGAGGTTGTAGGTTGCTGCTGTGTCTGCGGATTGTTCAGGAAGACTGGGAGGCATTGATATGTCTTAGATAATCTTGATTTTCATTAAATAAACGTTTACTTACACAAAACAACACATTAAAGAGTTGCAAAATTGAAGGCTGTGGAATGTATAGGCAATATCAGTCTAACCTTGTTGTGCTAGTGTGCTATGCCGTGGACTTCACTTACATGTGGGTGCCTTGCTGTAGAAGCACAGCCTCATGAATTTCACCGGGAGGGGCTGCGCTGGGAAGGAACTGGGGTGGTACAAGTACAGTGAAGAAGGCACAGATGCCAGTTGTTGATGCATTTGTAAAGTGAAGTGTGGCATTAATTGCAGGATGAGAAAGTGATGCCTGCATGTTTCGGCTGTTCAGTTTGAAAGGCTGTGCTGTACTTGGGCACTAATCTGTATATTACCTGCTTGCAAGCTGTGGTTTTAGGCAAGCAGCTTAAACCAGACTCTAAAAAGTAGACACCAATTTAGTTAGTCTTCCTCACTTCTGAATGTAGAATTTGGAATCTTTGTGGTTTGTGAAGTGTGAGCACTCACAGCTGTATCTGAAGTTCTGCACCAGCTACTTCTCTGAGAAATCAGGTCTAGGTGTCTCAAAATGCACAAGCCAAGATTTTTCTTCTGACTCTCTTAATTGGATGATGGGGAACAGAGGTTAAGTGTATTTATCCTCTCCATTTCATAAAGATACGGAAAATTCATCTACTGTGTTTCAGCCGGAAATCAAATCTCTCCTTTGAGACAGATGTATAATGTTACATTTTGTCATAATAGATGAGCATTAGGGAGCAAATAAAGAACATCTGTTACAGCCAGGTTTGAAGAACACTTGCAGTGTTGCTAGACCTCTTTTTGAACAATGAGAAAATTGTTGTTCAGAAGCATTATTTATTCAAACTATCTCCTCTGTGTAGTAAATTTGTATGTAAAAGTTTTTTGTATGTGGCTTTAATTGACCTGTTGTAATATATTTGCACAAGGGATTGAATTAAGTAGCATAGACTACTTTCATCCTAGCTTTTCGCACCTTGTGAGAGCTTGGTTTTGCAACTTGTAATGTCCTCTAATGTAGTTTTGCTGGAATGTTACTAGGAACCACTTTAGCAGTTTTCCTTCTGTGCAAGCTATCCTACAAAGACAGTCTGCTTTGACTTTTTTTTCTTTCATCAAACTAGACCTCAAAATTACTGAAGTTAGTATTAATCTTTCCACTACTCAGTGGCTCTTACCTGATTCTTTCTCGTTATTCTCTATTCTTAGTTAAAGTGTGTTTCATATGTTACCTAGACATAGGGGTTTTTGATTGGAACGTCTTATGCATCCCCCTTCAGGAGATCCACGTTGCTTTCAAGTATGTATTTTGGATCATACGTTACTGTTACAATATGTTTATATTACTCTGCTAAAGACCTAAGCAACCCATCTTGCACATTCTGAAGATGTAACCTATTCAGCCTGTTTGCAGACTTTTCTGGAATAAGTTTTCTTCAGTCTTACAAGCATACTTACTTAGTTTTTGAATTCTTGAGGTACTTTTCCACCAAGCTTCAAGGTTGCTCTGTGACCTCTCCTATCATAGTCTTTCACCTGGGCAAGGGACCTGAAGGTGATGGTTTGGATACAGACTCTGAACAACAAAGAAAATTGTTTCAGTGACTTCAGTTTGGGGGCTGGACATTTAGGTTGCCTTTTGGCAACTATCTTGAGACAGTGCTTTACTGAATGCTAATAAACTGGTCCCCTGAGGATGCGAACATCTTGCTAGCAAATTGTTGTATCCCTATGGTCTGTGGAAGTCTACATATTCAGATCATCTCTGATTGTTAGACTGTAGCTAGATAAGCAATTACCATTCCTAAATTTGTTTGGTGAGGAGGTGAACAGTAAATAAGAGAGAAGCATAAAGACAGTTGTTCATAGTACACAGAATGATGGAACAAAAGTTTATGGTTTAGTCACTTGAGAGTCCTGATTTTGGAAGCGTTTTCTTTTTTTGTATTACTCTGAAGAGTCGTAACACCAATCACAGCTGTATTTTTATAATGTGTGTACAATTCATGCACAAATACATCTGTCACCTTTGCATAATTGCACTGACTTTAATTGTGTAAATAGTTGATGGCAAACTACTGAGAAGTAGAAAAGTAAAATAATTAAGTCTTAATGGAATGTCCAACTTCTTGTTCTCTCCAAGAAGTCCTGATTAAAAAAACCCAAACCCTTCTTTCACTTAAGTCCTGCATGTGAACTGTTCTGGGGAGGCTTCTTGCTTTATAAAAAAATCATTCTTTCTGTTTTTCCTACACTTTTTAAAATGCCATCAGAGTCTATTCTGCAGGCAGGCAAGTGGCATGTGAGGAGCAGGACAGATTAGCGTGATCCCAGAATGTGTTCTTTTGATTAGTAACTTTTTTCATGTGTTTTCTTTAAAATACCATGCAAAGTATCATTGCTTTCACTGAAATCAGGGTAATTCATGAAAATAAACATCTCTATTATCTGTTGTTTTCTTTTGAATAGATTTCGTTACTATATTGCATTGTTACTTACAAACAGAAATGGTGTTAGTATTTTTAACCTGAAATTTTCACTGCATGGAGCTCAGCGTACATGAGTGTGCAGTCAAACTCAATCTCATTAAAGTTTGGCAGCCTGCAAGTTTTTGTTGTGCTTTCCTCTGGGTCAGCTGGAAAATGTAAGATTTGTGCTGACGCTGGGAAATGATCGTTCCAGTAATAACAGATTTTGGAGGATAGTAAAGACCCTCCAACGTTACTCCATTCTGCCTGCATTTCTTTCATGTAATTCTGAAGCTATGCAAGTATTAAAAGTCCGTGCAATGACAGTCCCACAGTTTAGCTCTTGGAAGGCTATCACTGCAAAAATATCAGCCGCACAAAGCTCCCTTTGCTTGGATTGCAGATGTACCTACATGCCGAAGGCATTTCACAGGGGCCTTTTACACTGGTTGTAGATTTCGGCCACTTCCTTCTCTTTTGACAGTGATGTTGGCCGCTGTTTCCTTTTTTGAGCTGTCTTAACTTCCCTCTGGCAGCAGTAACGGTGAGTTGCTGTGGAAAAAAGTAGCTCTGATGCCCTTTGAGGGAGAAAATGAAGCTGATTTATGAAAAGGTAGAAGTGTTCAGTAGCTCAAGAAGTCCAAGAACTTCATGCTGCTTTCTGAAGCTCGAGGAGGTAGTGGCTGAGATGTGGCAGAAACTATGAAGTTGTGAAAGGAAATGGACTTCTTATATTGACAAAGCAGCCAAGTTCTGGAGGATAGCTTTGACTTGTTTGTGGTTTTCCTACCTTTTGTGACCAGTGTATCTCCATGTGGGTTTTTTTGTGTTGGTTTGTTTGTTTGTTTTTAACAATAAA